ACAATATTCCAGATAGTTGGCAAATGGAGGATGAAGAAGAGTCCTTATCTGAAACTGAACCAGCTCCAGAAATTGCTGTACCAGTTCGTGGTTACGATCACGAATTTTGGGACCCTTTGTTAGAGGAAACTCTCGGTGGTTCTGATGCAGCCGAGATCATGGCCGGTATTAATGTCCCCAAAACAGCTCCTCAAACTTACCAGTGCACTACAGGCGGTGTCTTTGATCACACTGTTCGTACATCTGGCAAAGATGACACCGATTGGAAGAAAGACTTAGATTTCCTAGGTGTACACCAGAGAGAATGTCCACACGTACACACTGGTACCGCGTCAATGAACACATTACCTACTGGTGTACAATCCAAGTCAGCGTACACGCGTACACCGGCCCCAACGGCCAAACACTCTTCTTCTCGTAGAGCGGCCTCAATGGAAGGTGCTACTCACCCTCCTCGCCCTGCTACCCCTCCAGCACGGGAGACTAGACCTTTATCCGAAATCAGTGATGAAGAGTTTGATATCCCCCCGCTCTTTGATGACGTAGCTTACCAAGCTGATGATGTTCCAGATCTCAACTTAGATGAGACTGACGGGGAACCTACTGTTGGCAAACTATACGCAACCAAGAAAGACTGTCAAATTGGCATGGCAATCTATGCAATCAAGAAACGCTTCCATTTCAGACAAACCCGAACGACCAGGCACTCTTTTGTTCTTAGTTGCCATGATACTCGTTGTGATTGGCGCATATTTGCCAAAGAACTCACCACTTGTGGTTATTACACAATCAAGAAGGCTCAGCTTACCCACACTTGCCCTTTGGACCAGCGTGACCATTACAAGAGCAGGGCAACATCGAGAGTCATTGCTCATGTTTATCGTTCTCGTTATGGTAAACCTAACGAGGGTCCTAAAGCTGCTCAGCTGCAGCAGCTTGTACTCGAGGACCTGCGCGTCGATGCTTCATACATGAAATGCCATAGGGCAAAAGAACAAGCTGTAGATGACACTGTTGGTAAAGCAGAGGATTCTTACCTAAACCTCGCTTCATACTTTGAGAGGCTGAAACAAACCAACCCCGAAACCGTTACATACATTGAAACCGAGCTTGATGATTTTGGTGAATCCCGATTCCTCTATGGTTTCTTATCTTTCGGTGCTTCCATACAAGGCTTCCGTCGTCTCCGTCATGTTCTCGTTATTGATGGCACGCATCTATCTGGAAAATATAAAGGTGTCCTCCTCACTGCTAGCGGGCAAGATGCCAATTTTCAGGTTTTCCCTCTTGCCTTTGCTGTTGTTGACGGAGAGACTAATGCGTATTGGTTGTGGTTTCTTAGTAAGCTTGAAAGGATCATTGCCGACTCCAACTCTCTTACTATCATCTCAGATCGTCACATCTCCCTCCTAAAGGCAAGGAAAATTATCTTCCCTAAAGCGCATCATGGGGCATGTATCGTTCATATCATGGGGAATGTGTTTCCCGTTTTAAGAGCAAAGGCTTGGCCAAACTGGTATGCGCTGCTGCATTCTCCTTTAAACGCAAAGATTTTGATGATAACTTTGGCAAAATCAGGCAATCTAATGCTGCTTGTGCAAAATACCTCGAAGACATCGGTACAGCCAAATGGGCTAGAACATACTTCCCCGGAAACCGTTACAACCTCCTCACAAGCAATGTTGCTGAGCAACTCAACAATGCATTGAGTAAATCTAGGCCTTCCCCCATTGTTGAGTTATTTATGTTCATTCAACGGATGTTGACTCGTTGGTTTTCTGCTCGTCGCACCAAATCTGCCAAACACCGTGGTCATGTCACACCTGAAGTCGCTCTCGTTATGGACACACACATGAAGCTCAAAAAAGGCAGTAAAATCTCTAATATTACTGACTGGAGCTATCAAGTGAAAGGTGTCTTTGGATATTCTTACACAGTTGGCTTGGACAACAAAGTATGCTACTGCCAAGTCTTCCAAAAACTGAAAATTCCATGTGGTCATGCACTTCTTGTTGCTGATTCTGTAGGTCTCTCACATGTCAATTTTGTTGGGGATTTCTACAGAACCCAGACATGGAGAGACACATACGCCGGTGTTATTTACCCGGAGGCTCCCTTCGGTGAGATCCCAATTCCAGCAGCAATTTCCACTCTTCACCTGTTGCCTCCCAACACCCGTCGTCCTTCTGGCCGTCCTAAGGACAAGCGTATCCCTTCCACTGGTGAAATCCAGGTCAGCCTAATATCCAAACATATGTTCGTTTAAGTTTTTTATAAGCTACAAAATGTCTGTTTAATATCCCCCTACACTATTCAAATATATCTTGTTGGTGTTTTTTTAGGTACCCAAGAAAACCAAAGTCAACAAGTGTGGTCGTTGTGGAACCTCATCTCACAACAGGACCAACTGCACTGTCCCCATCTGATTGTCTGGTGAATTCTATATCCACAGGCATCCTCTTTTGGATAGAGCCTTCACCTTGAAAAAACAGCTTTTTTGTTGTTCCTTTTTGTTGTCTTCTTGGCATGTAAAAACATGCATTGGCTGTTTTGATTGACGCTTTCTCGTGTTGTTTAAGTAATTATGTTACTCTCAAACTCTTAAAACCATGACCTATCATTTGGCCAAATCGTACGTGATTGACCGTGTACACATGTACATATAATACCAACTTGTACGCTTCAATGTCACAAGCACTCACAAACGTTTTTCTACAGTTAAGCCCATTTACATAAAAGCGGCCCAAAATGAATTGCACTGGTACTTTAAAACCACCAATAATTGGGGATTAGGGTTTCCGCTTTTTGTATTCAAGATCCTCCGTCTGCCAAGCAAGAAATTCTCTTACTTAAACTTGGGTCCTTCTTTCCACATAGATATATGGCAGGTGTTCCTACACAATGTTGGTGTGGTAACAAGGTCGACATCTTTCTCTCCAGGACAAGTAAGAATCCCTTTAGGAGATTTTACAGGTGTGTGGTTACAATTCAGGTACGTTTTACACCTATGTCCATTTTCTCTTCTCGTGTAAACACAATTCTATATGTCTCGCGAAATCTTCTTTGGTCAATCTTGCAGAGACCATTCGAAAGTCATCTTTTCAAATGGGTAGATGAAGCCGTCACAGATGAGATCTTACACATTACTGCTAAACATGATAAACTTGAAAACAATGTTTCCCAGCTGCGTAACACTTTGGATGCCATTCAACAAAGTACTTCTCAACAAACAACCAAGGACAATCCTCAGCCAGTTATCAACCCAATTGACACGAAAGAAGCTTTCATTCTAACCTACGACATGCTTTGGTTCTATGGAAAGGGTTATTCTCAGTGAGACATCTTCCTCCTCTCCCACAAAAAATTATATGTAACTTATGCCACCTCCATTGCAATTTCCAAATTTAATATCTAACTTATCTCCTCCCACTGTAATGTCTAAGTTTGCCATGTATGCTTTCTTGTATAATCCAATTATGAAAATATATGTTGTTAAAATCCAAAAAACTTTGGTTTTGTTCTGATTGTACACCAGTACAATGACACCCCGGTACATTGTTATACTCTTTTACACATGTACAATCACACACCCTTGTACATTCCCCCCCTGCAATGTAAACGTTCGATTCATTCACATTTCACCATAAACCCAATTTTTTCACATACAAATAAACAGACTGAATTCAAGAACAAATCCCATCATTCAAAAGAAATCCACAAGAGGTCCTCATGCCAACATCCAACATACATAATTTTGTTAATCACCTAATAAATTCTTGTATAATCCAATTATGAAAATCTGTAGCTAAATTCTAAAAATGTTATTTTTGTTTTCATTGTACACCAGTACAATCACACCCCGATACATTGTTATACTCTTGTCCACATGTACAATCACACACCTTGTACATTCCCCCCCCCCCTGCAATGTAAACGTTCGATTCATTCACATTTCACCATAAACCCAAATTTATCACATACGAATAAAAAGACTGAACTGAAGAACAAATGCCATCATTCAAAAGAAATCCAAATCCAAAAGAGGTCCTCATGCCAACATCCAACATACATAAGTTGTTAATCACCTAATAAATTCATACACAGACTTCCTTGTACATATCCCAAAGGTTCATCATCCCAAATACAAAGGTACTACCCACCTACGGTAGATCTCCATTGCATATTGTTTCCTGAAATTGTCCACCAACTCATCTGTAAGCCCTGCCATCGTCGGGTTCTGGTCCCCTGTTGCATGCATTTCCGTAAACTTCACTGCTACGGGTCCGCAATCACCGCTTCGCACATTCTCGTATACACCACCTAACCTCTCCACCCCAAATGGTGCTAACCCACCCTCTCCCACTGTAGCTGCAGGACACACTTTCCTAGCTATATAAGGCAACTTCCGCGCCAATGGAGCCATCAAAACATCCACTTCTCTCTCACTTTTCAGCCTTGGATTTGGATCCATCACCAGAACAGACCTATCAGACAATCTAATACGCAGACCAACCCAGTGATACCCTTCCCAAATCATAGGCGCGTACAGCGTGTCGATATCCTCACCCCATCGCTTTCTCTCTGTAGTTAGATACTTTGTAATCCGAGCATTAACCACGACACTACTTTTAGCCTTCGCCGCCTTGAAAGCTCTGCAATATTTTCCTTGAACGTGGGCTGTAAACCACGGTGCAACAAACATAGACCTCCGACGCAAAGCATCATCACCATGCAGGAAATCAATGTACTCCATCAACACTGCCATATGCTGTAAAACAATAATCAAATCCAATCATAATCTCCCACTATAAGTACACTAAAAAAAAATTAAAAACAAGAAAAACACATACCGTACTAGTCACCCAATGCTGCGGTTTGGCAAGCTCAATGAAAAACTTGTTATCTAGATCATTCCCCCTTGCATTTAAATGCAACCTGACAACAACCATACCATTAGTGCACACTCTTACAAGGAAAATATAAACAATTTCTCATAAAACTCACACTGACTGGTTTGCGGTTAAGACTTTCTCAAAGAACGGGTAATCACAGTCTTCATAAAAAGGTACGATGTCTGGGAAACTATATTGATCCTTCGCCAGAAGCAATGCAGCCAACTGCTCATCCTCTTCACCTGGTCTATGTGTCACAGTCGTAGGCGGCGACGAATCACTAACCTCTTCTACAGCCATTTGAGGTGTCTCTCCTAAACTTCCTTCTTCATTCTCCTCTATTGACCGCACTTTCTCACCCGCATCATCATCCTTCATAGATTCTCCAGTCTACAATGACACTATCAATCAAAAAACAGCAACAAATAATTTCTAAAAAATTTACTTCATCCCAAAATAACAAATTAATCCTCACATCATACGCCAAAGATCTGTCTCCATCAACTTCCCCCCTACCTACAATCTCTCCATTTCCCTACGATGATAAAAAAACATCAATAAACTACTAAAAAATAGATGTACACCATATTAGTTGTACACATGTACACTTTTAACGTTTAACGTACCTGCCCATTCCCACCTTCTACATGCTCTCCAAACAAGTATGTTGTCCCCGTGTACACCTACAATTTCAACTCCATTATAACACGACCTTCCCATTTTTTACAACTTTAATTGTAAGTTTCATTTACCACCATGCGCCTGTCAGTGGACAACTTCTCTTCCACATCACCCATCATCCTATCATCCTCTCCATTCTCACTTCCATGTTCACTACCACCATCCACCTCAGAAATATCCTTTCCCAGACCCATATTGGTTTCACTCACCTAGTTAATATATATATTTTTTAGTACGCATAAATCCACAGTTGGCTTCTACTACTTACACAACATAATTTGGCCACTTACAGTTCCCTCCAACTCATTCTCCTCCACAACATCAGTCTTCATTGAGTCTCTTCCATCCTGCGGGGGCCCATTATCTGCCTGCACATTTGTAAAGGAAAAAAAATCATCAACAACGAAAATTTTACATAAACAATTTAAAAAATTGCTGTCAATTGTACAAAACATACCTCGTTCTCATTCAATCCCTCATTATGAACTGTTTCTCCTTCATTCATATTTCCTGTTCCATCTTCTTCCACTTTGTCTATCTGCATTTTCCATTTTTCAATATCTAAGTCAACTTCACAAACATTTTTAAGAAAATTCATACTGTCACAAACCTCATTGTCAGCCACAACTGCCTTCACCAGAACACCCAACTCACCGATTTCCTGACCCAAAAATAAATTAGTCATCTCCCATCATTAAATTTTGAAAATTTTAAACAACTCCTAAAATGCTCACCCTCGCGTCAAGACCGTCACCAGACATTTCCCTGGTAATCTCCTCACAACCCACAACTGAGCTACTACCATGATTCATCCGTACTACATCTTCACCAGAAACCGATGGAACTCCCATATCAGCCCTAAACTCTTCAGCAACCTGGCTCTCTTTGGCCCTCACTTTCATCCTCAGCTTTGTTCCACTCCTCCATTTTCCCAAGGAGCCCCCTTTTCTCAACATTTTCCATTTCTTCCATTGTCGCTCCTGTTTCTCATAGACCTCCCTTAGTCGAGCCATTTCTTTCCCATGCTCCTCTATTTTCTCCGCCATCTCAGCAAATTTCGCTGCATCAACAGTAACCTGACGGTTGTAATACGAGCTCATTCTCCTTTGTTTGAGAACAGGTCCTGCGGCCTTTGTTATTGCTTTCCTCTTTTTTACCTTCACCTTCTCAGAATATACATACAACTTATCGTTCGCATCACCACCACCCCAGTGTGCCTTGCTAAACAAATGACCTTCACCAATCAATCGTACCATGTACTCAACTTTCTTGGCATACATCTCATCATCAAATAATCCCCATCTCTCTGGTTTGTCACCACTTATCTCCAACATCGGCTTCACCACAAGCTGCAAATTCGTGAAAAACAGGTTAATAACTGTCTACAAATACAACAATACGTGGAAACAAAATTATTAAACCATATGTACGCTAAACCAGGATAACATGTCCACGTGTACACCTAAAGTAGAGGATTTTCACTCACCCCAACAGCGTGCTCAGCTATCCTTACGTCTTCTGTTGTCAAACCAGCATGTTGTGGCAATGCACTACCCTGGTATGTTAGCAAAGTGATGCTATCATCACCACTGGCTCTTTCAAGTAGCTTGGGAATGGCCTCAAATGCAAACAACTGCAACGCCAAAGGGAAACCAATAACCCTCATTGTTTTCTGCCTGAGCTTCTTACACAAATCTCCCGTTGGGTCTTCACACTTCCCCCAAACCTTAGGGCCAGGTATCATTGTTCTAAGGGTCAAAAGAAACGATTCTCTGCCCCATTGAAAATCAAAGAACTTCTTCAAGTTCTGAACTAAATTAACATTCTTCAACCTTGGAATCTGTTTCTGCGTCGTCGGCAACAACACACCATCAACGATAATGATGAGACACAATCTTAACCTCCTCCACCCAGGCATTTCCTTCTCCTGCAACACCTTCGCTACAAGCCCTTCGATTGTTACGTCCCTCTCTTCCCCAATAAGCTTATCCCAATACTCATAGTTTTCATCCTTCTCAGGTACTTCGTAGTCAATATTGTATCCATCTTCAAAGGACCCACAAGGAAAACCAGTTACTTCTCCAAACTCCACCAACGAAAATCGAAGTGGGTAACCACCGAATGCCGACCACATCTCGTACTTCTTTTTCGTCACAACCTGTCTCGTTAGCATCCCATGACCAACTCTACCCATCAAAAGCCTTCTTGTTGGGAGATTAAAAAGCCGTCCAAAACACGACTTCAGTAGTCTTTCCATCTCTGCCGTGCCGTTCAAAGCGTCTCTAACAGCCAGAAGATAATCGATCTTCGAATACATATTGAATCTCTCACTCGGAAATTGGTCTGTAGCAAAAAGCCATCCCGGCAAACTCTCTTTCACATCCTCAACCTCCGTAGCCTCTGATAACCAAAAAAAAGGTAAATGACGCATATATATCTATAAGAACTACAGATCTGGAAAAAAAAAATTCGAAAACTCACCGGCGACGGGCTCTTTTCCACGGCGACTCCGGCGTCTTGACATCGTCTACTTTGGTCCGGTAATCAATTGTAAATCTCCCACTGTAAATTTCTCTAATTCTCTCTCGACACTTACAGTTTTCTAAACAAAAAGAGAAAATGAAAAGACATCTCCTAAATTACCACCTTTAATCTTCGAAACTGTTTGATCTTTAACCGTGGTCAAAACTAACCAAGGTTAGTTTCATATTATATTATTTAATTTTCAAATTTTTGAAATCCTAACTAAACAAGTCAACCTAATTACCATCACCCGTGTGGTTACAAAAAGTGAAGGAGAGTTTTTGTCTTTTCACACAAAAAGTGTCTCGGTAGCCGAAACTACCTATAAGTGTAATAAAAACTTGTAAACTGACTCTCAGTGAAAAAAACTCTTTCAATTCTTTTTAGTAGAAAAGATGTAGAAAGAAACGAGAGAAAACATTGGGCCCTCCGTGGACAATTTGATTTTACAATCTCCAGCCCCTCATTCTCAGTGATGAACGGCGCATCTCCAGCTCATTCCTCGGTTTCGACGACGGCCGTAGCAGGAGGTGGTGGAAGCAGCGGAGCCGCCGCGGGTCTGGACGATTTCCCATTTCCACCGGATATTCCTTCTATGCAGGACCGAAAGGACGAAGCCATGCGAGGTCGGTCACTCTCCCCCTTCCTTAAGGTTTTGCCCACGATTAGGGATTTTCAGTAGATCTGGGATTGCGTTTTTGAGTTGGATCCATCTGTCTGTTCGATGTCCCATAGAATCACCTTGGAATTCATCACATATCTTCCGTTTCGTGATGCAGTTTTGAAAGCTGATTTGATGGGTGAGCTAGACAAAGAGGTTAAATCATTGGAAGATGACAATTGGATGTTCCAAGGTCCTCGTTCTCGTATCCATCTTATCTCCAGGAGAGGTTACTTCCCTCTCTCTCTCTCAGATCATCCCTATGATTTTATACATCAGACAAATTGATATGATGAATCTGTTTGATTGAGAATCCGTTTAGTTTTCATGTTTTGTCATCAGTTATTAGGATCACTAATACACTCTGCTGACTCATTTATGTGATCCAATTGGGCTTATGACTAGGTAACTTTCTCAAAAGAGATGGTGAATCTGTGGTGAAATCAAGCATTGTTCAGCTGCCCCGATGATCAGAGTTACAAGAAGGCAATGTACCTAATTGATTGTTTGACTATAATATCTCAAACCTATGAATCATTGTTTTGTTTCCAGATTTTATATTAAAAACATTTGGTTTAACTCACAGAGATGATTCCATTGAGTACTACCAACATCAAATCACTGAGTTAGACCACACTACATATAACATTCCGTGAAAAGGTTGTAAAATGAACAAGACTTATTGGTCAAAAACGGGAAATTGTCATTTAGATCTTCATCTTTCAAAACAACTTTCTCTTGAACTATTTAAATCATCATCTTATCTTGAATAACTGATGGCGTGTATTTGATAGGAATTGAACCTGTGACCAAAGCTACCATTGTTGTAAGATCATCTCCAATCCAAACTTATTTTCTTCTTTATAATTCTCTCAAAAATAGAGTAACTCTATTTTACAGTGATTTTTGATCCAATGGTTCACTCTAAAATAGAGTTATTCTATTATACAGTAATAAATAGAGGGATATCACTTTTTCACTCTATTTTCTAATCTATAATAGAGTAACTCTATTTACATCAAAATTTTTTCACTTTTTGGAATGAAAAAGTGATATCCCTCTATTTTCTACTCTATAATAGAGTTACTCTATTTTTGTGAAAATTATAGAGGAAAAAATAGGTTTGGGTTGGAGATGCCCTAAACCCGAACCACTAGACTACTTACAGTTTTGTTAATTTGAATAAACATCAATAGTTATTATTCTTCTTGTCTGAATCATCTCCTCCCTACCTAAATTCTTAAATCGATCATTGTAAGGAGATAATGATGAAGAGTGTAAATCCTACTTTTTGTGATGATACATTTGAATAACGGTCAACGACTGGACAGAAAGACGTGTTTTTTGATGAATGATTGGAGATTCCATGAATTTCAATGTGGTTTTTTGCCAATAATTTATACTGTAATTTACTAGAATGATACACAAAAGCTTGTATATGACTAGAATAGTATACATTTTCTAAAAATTACTAGAATGTTTTCAGACTCCTAGTAAATTGCAATAAACACCCTTGTTTAATTTTGTTACTATTGATACAAATTTTAATTATTAAATCCACATCATAATTTTGACAATCCATGTCACTAACTAATTTGTGTCATCAACAGTTACACTCGAAAATCAATAGTCCCATATCTCCGGTGAACCAAAAAAAAGTCTTAATGTCACATTCTTCCCCGTCACAACTTTCGTTAAACCCTAACTGATTACGAAATCACAAAATCACGAAATCATCTCCGTCACAACTAATACTCTCGTTTCAAACAATGTTTCCGATATCGTAAATCATCTTCGTCGACCTCGTTAAACCCTAACCGTCTCCGATATCATCTTCGTCGACATCCTCTTCTCCGCAAAAGTTTCGACGTAATCGTATCTACGACATCATCTTCTCATCTTCTCTGGTATGTTGTGCCTGAGTTTGATTTATGACGTGTCTGAGTTATAGATTATGTTGTTACTGAGTTATTGTATAGTGTGGCTGAGTTGAGTTTGATTTATGAAGTGGCTGAGTTATTGATTATGATCCGACTGAGTTATTGATTATGCTTTGGCTGAGTTATTGATTACTGTGGCTGAGTTATATATTATGTTGTGGCTGAGTTATTTATTATTTATGATTTGGCTGAGTTATTGATTATGTTTTGGCTGGCTTATTGATATGGTGGCTGGGTTATTTATTATGTTGTTGCTGAGTTTTGTTTCTATTGCGCCTGATTTATCTATATATGTGTTTTAGGATCAGATGGCTATTTCTGAGGATCAAGCACGGGATTATCCTCCACGACTTTACGCTGAAGGGGCTTCTAATCTAGAAAATAAAGAGATTAATCACAATTTACAGATGAGAGATTTCCCTAACGTCAGAGAAACAAGAGGACGAGATGTGTGGGATCACATGAGGCAGGGTCCTCTTGGAATTATTGTGAAGCTAGCTGAACGCAAAAGCGTGTGGTCTGGTAGGACTGTCCACTATCTACTATGTCGACAGCTTCGAGTATACTTGAAGGAGATTTGGAGTCTAGTTGGTGATGAACCTATCAGGTTTAGCTTACTCGAATTTNGGTCCTCTTGGAATTATTGTGAAGCTAGCTGAACGCAAAAGCGTGTGGTCTGGTAGGACTGTCCACTATCTACTATGTCGACAGCTTCGAGTATACTTGAAGGAGATTTGGAGTCTAGTTGGTGATGAACCTATCAGGTTTAGCTTACTCGAATTTGGTGAGATCACTGGGTTAAACAAAGATCCAGTGCCAACAGAAAATTTTGAACATGACCAATACAAAGCGTTTTGGGAGGAGTTGAATATGCCGCTTGGGGTGGGACCCAAGTTAGATGAACTGAGGGCAGCATTAGAGGTATGTCCGGCCTGGAGTTTTGAAAAGCGTAAATGGTTAGGGCTGTTACTTTCTCAAGCCATGGGACTTTATGCTTTGCATCATAATTCTAGGATACCGTTTGAAAGTGCAAAAAGAGTATTCGACGATGAAGCCATGATGACGTATCCATGGGGGAGGACTGCATATGAAGTTCTTGTTGATTCTATTAAGATGTTGAATCCACAAGGAAGGACATACACCATAAGCGGTCTGAATGATGTGTTGTTGGTTTGGGCGTATGAATCTGTCATTTGTTTTGGAGAGCGTTTTGGGAGAGTGGTCAATGAGCAAGAAGTTCCACTTTTTCGATGGGGTGGAAAGCGTACACGTTCAAGTTTTGATACTGTCATTACTGAGGAGATTAGAAAACATGGCGAGGTAAGGTGTCAACTGATTTATTATTTATTTGTTGGCTGGGTTATAAGTACTTATGTACTTAAGTGGCTGAGGTTTTTGGTATTAGTTATTTGATGGCTGAGTTAGCATGTATAAAGTGTCTGAGTTATTAGTATTTTATGGTTGAGTTATTAGTTGTTTTATGAACACCAAAAATCCAGCCACCATATAAACAATATCTCAGCCTCTTGGTATTAGTTTTGATGGCTGAGTTAGTATGTACATAGTGGCTGGGTTTCTTGATATTAGTTATTTGATGGCTGAGATAGTGTTTATATGGTGGCATGGTGGCTGGGGTTTTGGTACTTTGTGGATGAGTTATTAGTACTTTGACAACTGAGTTATTATGTATTCGGTGGCTGATTTTGTAGGTGCGCGTGAGAAAAATGGTTATGAAGGACTCCGTAGAAGAGATGTTTCCTCAGTGGCCGGATGAAGCAGCTGCCCGCAACTCGTTAACTTGATAATAGACATATATGTAGGTCGGTTTGTTAGAGGTTTTTGGGGAACACAGATGAAACACAAACAAACAAACACAAAGGTTTTTTGGTGTTTCGTCAAAGGCTGAGCCACCCATTAAGAAGCAGAAGAAAGTGAGCAGCTTCCAAGAGGATGAAGCTGCTGTGGAGGGAAAGGGTGCTTACGAGAAGGAAGATAATGATGATATTGGAGAAAATCCGATACTGATGAAAATAATGTTTAGTCTGGATAGAATTGTCTCAAAAATAGACAGCCACGAGAACAACTTCGAAAACTTTGATGCGCGGCTATCAAGAACCGAGTCCAGTTATACGAACATTCCTGATTTAGTCAGAGTTGCAGTTGACGAGTACTTCTCTAAAGTTCCCCAAAAATCTTTAACGTTGCCACACCACCGCCGCCACCGCCACCACCGAACTTTTTTCCGCAGCAGTCAGTCAATAGTCCACCTGCTAAGGCCTCTGTCCATAGTACACCTGGTAAGAATTTGAGAGACACTGTTGATTTCGTTGGTGTTTCTCCTGCAAAGGACCCAGCCTTAGGAAGCGGGCACAAGATAATAAGGTTTAAACAAAAAGGAAATGAGGTTAAAGAGAAGAACAAAGAGGCGGCTGAGTTAGGAAAGAAGGATGTGTCTCCTAAGAATAACTTAACGGCTGTAAGTAGGGAAGAAGAGGCTGCGTTAAAGAAGAATGAGGCGGCTGAAAAAGGAGAAAAAAAGTGGCTGAGACAAAGCAACGGAAGGCTGACGAAAAGAAGGCGGCTGAGTTGAAGAAGAAAGAAATGGCTGAGTTACAGAATCCGGTCGCAAAAAGGACGCGTCGCGGTTTAATAACAGGAGTTGTACCTCAGCCGAACCAGATTCAAGCCGACAGTGAGCTTGCGGATATTACTGACGAATTTCTCGCAACATGAGACGAAGTGCTTCCGGAGTCTGATGAGGATGAAGAGGATAAGATCAGATCCGAAAGAATAAAAGAATATCGAGAGAAAAATGTTCAGTTATCTGCAACTGGGTCTGCATTGCAACTCTCTGATAATGCTCCTTCAGCACCAATTTTTCCTCAGATTGGAGACAATGTAACGACGTGCATGAGGAATAAGTTATTATCTTCACCAGCAAAATGGGATAAACTTATGGAACACCTAGAGAAACATAAAGACGCTCCCACTACCCCAACAGCGGCCCATGAGGGTGAGTTCTACAGAATCATCATCACTGAAAGGCCGTGGAAAGACATTCAATATGGATGGCTGTATGATGATGTAAGCATTCCTTACGGCTGAGTTATAAGTTTTATGTGACTGAGTTACGTTTTTTTAAGGCTGAGTTAAAGAAGACTAAGTAGCTTACTTTATTCTTCTTTACGGCTGAGTTAAGTATACTAGTTGGCTGAGTTTAGTATACTATGTGGCTGAGTTATGTGTTTTGTTACGACTGAGTTATAGATTCTATTATATTGACTTGATTTTGTGTTTTTGCGTAGCATGTTAGTGCGTTTCTGCGAATCCTCATCAAAAGGTCCATGCGAGATCCCAGCCCATTCTGGACCAAGCGCATTGCATTTATTGACGTTTAGTTTCTCAGTCATTGGATTCGCGATTACCAGCAGTACAAGCTCAATCCTAAGATGATGAAATTCACCGGTAATGGCTATGCAGAGTTAATAAACGGTAGGATACCCGCAGACTGTTGTACAAACTTGAAGTGGTATGAGGATGTGGATCACATGTACAGAGTGCTTCCAACAGGAGGCTATCATTGGGTGGCGTTTCACGTGGATCTGCTTAATGAGAAGATTGACTGCCATGATCCAATCATTGGACACGTCACAGCCGAAAGTGAAAAGAAAATGGTTGATGCATTTAAGCCTCTTACGC